ATAAGACCACCAATCAAAGAGCAGCGAATTATCGATTGGAACAGTGACACACGAAAACCGTACCAGCAGTCTAGAGCGCTTATCGATCCTGCGTCTGCCTAGCCCAGCCAGTTAAGTCCAAAACACAAATAACAGCCTCTGTGGTATGAATTATTGTATTTCAAACATACCGAGTTTATATACCAAACAGACTGACCACATCGCACAAATAAAATAGAAAATAACATTTGTACAAGAGTTAACCAAATGTGGCTGTGAATAAGGGAAGCAGTAATTAATAGACTGGGTATAACTTAGGAATGGTAAATCGTACAATAATCGTACAATAGTCCAAGGGTCAAAATAAAGCATGTTTTATGCATGATGGTGTTGCTGCGAGCTGATTGGTTAATTTTAAACCGATCAGCCCGGGCATATTATTGCAGAAAAATCTATAAGCTTCTTATGTATATATTATAAATATATGAACGTTATTCAAATCAGTGATTGCTGTTCACTTATTATTATTCTTCTGAATACAATTTAATTCCTGTTCAACGTGTTCTGATTTTGGGGTCTTGTTGAGTGTCATCGTATAAGAATACTAAGCAATAGGAATAGCTGGGTCGTTTATATATAGCGAAACGCAATTATAACACTAATACTATCGGGATATAATACCAAGCCTGTAATCAATACAGAAAATTAATATTCAAAATACATGTCCTGGAGTTCTAGTGGGAAGCAGTGACTAGTGGAGTTCAACCACGTCTGTTGTGAGATAGCAACTCACTGAAGGCAATTGGTCGCTCATAATTCGTGGATCAGTTGAAGTTAGACATTAACACCGTTGGGTGCCGGCTCAGTGGTCTATCGGTTAAGGGCTCTGGCTCGTAACTGGTAGGTCCTGGGTTCGAATCTCGCGAGTGCGGGATCGTGGGTGCGCACTGCTGAGGAGTCCCATAATAGGACGAAACGGCCGTCCAGTGCTTCCAGGTTTTCGATGGTGGTCTAGCTTCAATTGACTCATGATTTCAACTTTGAAATATACTGAAATCTCCACAAATCCCCTTCTGATAATATCTCTTAATAAATGAGTTGTATTTAAATTGCTGAAATGGTTTTCATCAGGTCACATTTACAATTTTTTTAAAATAAAATCAAGATTACCGTAAACATGTTGAAATAACATAGAATAATCAAAATGTGGCTAGTAGTAGAATTTAGGATATGCTCTCTCTTCTATTCAGGACTCATAGTCTGAATGTGACTGAGTTTATTCTATACTAACTTGTGCCATTATGGCTACATCAATGCGATCTGGACATGATATACATATGCCGAATAAAACTGACCAAATTTCAGTTAAAAATCTCAACAAGAGATAATCCAAATCAATATAAATTGAATTACTACTGAAGTAACCTAGCGAAAATGTCATCACGTGCTGGATAATGAAGATTTACTTAGTCAATAAATGTTGCGATAAATGTCAAGAATATAAAATCCATATTAAACTCTTTCATGTGTATCCAGATGTTATCTTACACATTTCTCCTCATTGATGTACTTTGATTTTTATAAACTATCAAGATGGATATTGTAGTAATTTTTAGTAGTTGAATTCATTAGTCGTCTAAAGCTAAACCACAATGGAAATCCCAGAAGCACTGGATGACTGATTCGTCTTAGTATGGGACTCCTTATCAGTGCGCATCCACCGTCCCACATCAAAAGGATTCGGACCCAGGAACTTCGGTCTCTCGAGAGAACCCTTCACCTCTAGACCACTAAGCCTGCCAACATCCAATAGTCTTAATGTCTGACTTCAACCAATACACTACATCGCGCTAGCGTCCACCATTGTCCTTAGTGAGTAACTGCTTCTACAACAGATACGGTTCAACACAATAAGTCATGGCTTGTCACTAGAACTCCAGGAAATTTCTCATGACGCCAGTCATTAGTGAGCACATGATAAATATTGTCATCATATTGAATAAAATATTCTGTTTCGTCGCTTAGTGTTGTTGACTTGTATCTTTCCATTGTTATTTAGGACTGAAATTGATCAGTCTTTTGTTAGCATATGTGCATACTGTGCGTATTGTCTCGATATTGCTAGCCGCTATCCATATTTGCTTGTAATACTTGTAAATTAAAGCAATATCCAGGCAATCCATACAGTATGCATATATGCCAATAACAGACTGATCAATTTCAGTCCTAAATATTAATGGGAAGATGTAAGATAACAACAGCAAGTGAATATAACTTCATCCTATTGCACAAGCAAGTGGCTATCAGGACTCAGTAGCTGAATGGATAACGCAATGGTGTTTGGTTCGAACGGTACTGGTTTCAAGTCTCAGGATATACATCAACACTGAGATGCAGGTAAATCCAGCTGACAAGTCTGGAATAGCAAGAAACGCGCGTCCTGGATTCCACTACTAGCCACTATCCATCTTTGCTTATATTCTGTTTAATATTATTATGAATACTGTAACTGATTATCTTAGAGTAAAAGTACATTTTTATTTTCAATTCAGTTTCATAAGTAAACAAACTATTCATTACAATATTACAAATCATTGTAAACATAATTCTGAAGAATTATTTCCTTTAAACAATTAATATAATTTAAATTCATTCAGTATTGTTTGTTTGAATCTTCCCATCGATTTGTTAGGACTGCAACTGGTCAGTCTGTAATTGGCATATGTGCATACTGTGCGTATTGCCTCAAAATAGCCTTCATTCACAAGCATGGTAAGCAGAGATGGATAGTGGCTACCATGCTTGTGAATGAAGGCTATATTGAGGCAATACGCACAGTATGCACATATGCCAATTACAGACTGACCAGTTGCAGTCCTAACAAATCGATGGGAAGATTCAAACAAACAATACTAAGTTGAATTTAAACTTCACCCCATCGCACAAGCCAGTGGCTATCAGGACTCAGTGGCCGAGTGGATAACGCGATGGCGTTTGGAGCAAGGGTACTGGGTTCGAGTCCCAGAGTGAACATCAACTCTGGGATGCAGGTACGTCCTTCTAATGAGTCCGAAATAGGACGAAACGCGCGTCCTGGATTCCATTGCTAGCCACTATCCATCTCTGCTTACCAATTAATATAATTTACTTCATTCATTATATAAAAGAAAAATCAAAACCTTTTTTTAAAATAAATATTGGGAAATTACCAGAATTTGTTTATTCGGAATGTTATTTACATCATTGAATCTATTTAACCATTAACCTTGAATCGGTCATATAATTCAAATTTGAAAATTCATCAATCAATATATATGGATATAAATATTGCAATATAAGTATTAACCATTTAATTATATTATACCAACTAAGAAATACATTAAAAGAACTTCGGCATTTAGAACAAATTAACTGAATGATTTGGAAAACTTTCATTATGTAATTTAGTAGTGGAATTTATGGTTCGAGCTAAGATAGACCACCACTGAGAAACTGGAAGTATTGGACGGCTGTTTCGTGGGACTCCTCAGAAGTGTGCATCTACCATCCCGCGCGTGAGATTCGAATCCTGAACCTTAGGTCTCAAGATCACGGATCGATTGAAGGTAGACATTAGCACTGTAGGATTCCGGCTCAGTAGTTCTCGATACTGGAGGTCCTGGGTTCGAGTGCATGAACAAATCTTCACCTGCAGTCTAACTTTTTCCTCTTAATCGACCCATATCAGTCGTGTTCCTGTGTCACAAGTATTAAGTACCAGTTCTTCCTCAGTTACAAGAACACATCAATATCACCAGTTGTACCAGCATTTTGTTGAGATACGACAATTTTTCTAGTTTTGTTTTCTAGTCATATTCTGCACGCTTTGTTAGCTTTACCATCATCGACACTATTACTACTACTACCATCATGTACCACTTATGTTGACAGATGTGAGTAGTATGTAACGCCGATCGGGAATGAAATGCCCATGAGTAGAAGATTGATAAGACTGAGATGAAGAGAAGATAATTGAAAGCAATCAAGATAAAATTGGGAATGAAGGAACAATGGAGCTTGTAAGAAACAATCCAAAAAAGATGTGCAAATGATGTACTTAATGTATGATTTTCAAAATTTACTGAACCACTATGTGATTTTTTACTGAACAGTAAATTAGTCTTCTCTATTTCAGTTCTTCGTTCAGTACACTGCTGTTAATTTTAATATTACCATTTCTGCCACTACTTTGGTATTCAATTTGATAACACCATTTTAAGTTGTTGAATTAGTGTGTTATTTTTGTTGAATACACATAGATCCTAGGTTCTACTTTATTTATCACTGATTTAAAATAACATTTAGCGCCACAGAAAAATAAGAAAGTGGCTTACGAATAACATTGAAGTAAAAAGCTGATGCTACAAATTATACAATTTTGTTTATTTAAAAAGATCTAAAAACTTGTAAGTTCAACAGACTAAAGTTGAATGCTGCATACAGGTATTGTTTTTATCATAGAATTACTAAATAAATGGATCACTGTACGTTACTAGTTCTATTCTCTATCACTTATGATGTAATCGTATATACCCTGAAATAACCTATTTTTTGCCACTGTAGTGTTAGTCAATGCTAAATACATATTATGATATACGTTCTAAGAATATATTACATAGAAGATAGTTGGTAACAATAGACGGTAATTCTTTTCGCTGTTTTCAACCTTCAACTTACCAACAGTCTAATAGGGAATCGCTTCTCAAATCAATAGGAATAAAAATATCATTCAAATTTACTTATTGTCAATCAAAATGTGTCACTGATCAATGTAAAATTTACTAGTTTAATAAACAATATTGAAGTGTATGTTACACTAATGGATAGTATTATTAAATGATCAGATCAATCAGACCTTTACCTTCCAATGATCTTATATAGATGTCATCTCAGTTACATCATACAATCAATTTCATTTTCCTTTAACATACAATTCATCTACATGACACTACTGTATTCATTGAGTTAATTTACAGTAAAATACAAATAGAAAAGAATCTTTATTTCTCTGATATTCTGTACATAAGTTACAAAATAGAAATAGTAAGGATTAGTAATAATAATCTCAATTGTTAGAATCATACTATTCTAATAATACACTATTCAATATCCTTTCTCAAATCTCGTCTTTTTCGATAATCTCTAATATCAAGTTGTAATGAATGTGTAGCATGTTGATTATATTGTTCAATATGATAATTTTTTTCATCAGTATCTTCTTTACTTTGAATAGTATCCTTATTTTCATTATGTTCAATATTCAATTGTTCTGTTTGTTTAAATTCTTCAAGTTTTGGTTGATCTATATGATCCATTTTAGTTGTATGTTTATAATGATTGATACCCATTTCAATATTATTATTATTATTATTCTTGGTGTTGGTGTTATCTAATGGCAATTGATGTTTAATAGTTTCTATACGATATTTTAATAAATCATTAAATGCTTCATTTAAATCTAATTGACCTTTACGTTTAGAATTTGAAGCATAGATACTAAATTGATTATTATGTGATAATTGATCAAATAATATATCATTAGTATTCATTGAAATTTTTGTATATTGTTTTTTATTCATATTCATTGTCATCATTTGTTCAGCTGATATAAAAGAACCTCCACCAAATGTACCTCCATCATCATCATCATCATCATCACCACCATCATGATCATGATCACGATCATCAACATGATTAAGATTACCATTATAATCATCATCAATATCATCAATTGGTATAATTGAAAGATTATTCCGTATAATCCATTCTTGTGTTGAACTATTATATACATTTGGTATTATATTATTTTTAGAATTAGGATTAAATTTTAATGATTCTGGTATATTTTTTAATATATTGTCTATATCAGATGGATGTGTTGTTGCTAAGAGTAATTTTAAGGCAATATTTTCATAGACTTTTAATATCTTTTCATCATACCGTTCCGGATTACGTTGTAAAATATGTCGTATATATTTTTGATCAATATGTATAAAAAATTCTCTTATAGCATTACGTCCTTTAGATCCGATTATTATTTCAATACCAGTTAATGTTTGATCAATAATATTTTTATTTAATATATGAAATAAACTTAATTTTTCATGATCTTTTTTACGTATTTTTAATAATTTCATTAATGGTTTAATAGTAATACCCATAAATCCAACAGTAAATAATATAATAAATAATGTTGTAGTTACTATGACATTTTTATGATAGATTCCATTCATTGGAAATATATCTTCTGGTATAAGTACTGCTAATGCAAATGCTACAGCACCACGTAATCCTCCATAAATTAATATAATTTGTTGAGATATAGTTATTTTAGTTTCATCAATATTAACATAATTTACAATAGCTGTTATACAAAATATCACTATAGTACGTGATAATAAACATAATATAAGACCCCATATAATAAAACCAGTATGCCATTCTAACTTATATGATATAACTTGAATACCTAAAAATAAAAAAATGACAGCTTCACTAACTTCAGCTAAAATTTTAGTTATTAAATGTAAACTTTTTACATATTTTTCACCAATATTATGAAATGCATAAGCAGCTTGTATAAGACCACAACCAATCATTGATATAATACCAGACCAACCAATACAATCAGCAATAATATATGAAAAATATGCTAATAATAATATTGTAAATACAGATAAATGACTACGTATTCTTGTAATTAAACATGTTATAATACCAAATATAACACCAATAAATAAACCACCAAAACTAACAGTAAAAAATGATACAATTCCAATAAAAATTTGTATACTACTTAATTGTTCATTATTATTAAATACAATCATTATATTATTTAATACAATTGTAATTGCATCATTAAATAATGATTCACCAAATACAATATAATATAAACTTAATTCAACACCAATATCTTGAAAAATAGCTAATACAGCAACAGGATCCACGGCAACTATTAATGAACTAAATAATAAAAATGTTTTAATATCCATATTTAATTGTGGTTGTCCAAATCCTCCTATAGCATAGATACCATACATAATAAAACCAATTAATAAAAAATTACATATTGTACCAATTATAGAAAATATTAATATAACACCTAAATATTCACTAAATATTCTATTATATAATTCATATGATGATTGTAATATAATAGGGGGTAATAAATAATATGAAAATAAAGAGGGTGTAAATTTCCATACAGTATTATCAATGGTATAATTTTCAATTTTATAAAATACAATACTACCAAATGTAATACCAATTAAAATTAATAATAATGATTCAGGTATATAAGATGATATATATGGAATATAATGATAAGCTAATTTTAAACATATTAATATCATTAAAAATAACATTACAGTTATATGTATAGAAAATTCATGAAATTCCCATTTAATAATAGATATTCCTTTATTAGAATGAATTATAGTTGAATAATTATCAGTAGTATGTTTAGCATAAATTAATTGTTTCATTATAAATATAATAATTAATAAATAATTAAATAATAAATGTTTAAAAAATTGATGATAATGATATAAGAATGAAATCATTGTATATTAGTAGTAGTATTATTGTTTTAATCCAAAATATAATGTTGATTATTTAATATTATAATAATCCATATTGTGTTATAATGATCAATTTATAAAAGAAATTAATGTTTAATCTCTATGTGAAATCATTTTGAATAATTTTTGAATTGGTTATTAGTAGTATAATCAGTAGTATTGTTGTTTGAATACAAAAAAAAACTTAAGAAAAATATAATGTTGATTATTTAATATGATAATGATCCATATTGTGTTATAATGATGAATTTATTAAAGAGATCAATGTTCAATTTCTGTGTGAAATCATCTTGAATATTTTGAAATTGAATATTAGTAGTATTATCAGTAGTATTGTTGTTTGAATATAAAAATTAAGAAAAATATTTTTTTTAAAAATAGGATTCAATATTATAATGATCCATGTTCTGTTATAATGATCATTTTGTAAAATAAATCAACGTTAAATCTCTGTGTTTTTTTATTTATAGTCAGTTTCAATCACAGACACTCACATTCACACTCACACACACGCACTTACACATACACAGACACACAAACAAACAAATAAATAAAAAGAATTACAAATATAATCAGAAATATTATATTAATTATTTTATAAAGAATTATTAATATGATTAATATCTTAAATAGAAAATATCATTATTATTATTATTGGAGTTATTTTTGTGTGTGTGCGTGTATGTGATCATGTTTGTGCGTACGTATTAGAATGAAAGAGAAGAAAAAAAAATAAAACAAAACAACTAACTGATTGATATCCCCCATCAACAACATTCTCATTCTCATAATAAAAATGGCTCCAATATTTCCAAATTAGAAACAAAACAACAACAACAAAAAAATCACCAACTTCCAATCAGAATTTACTGAATTAATAGAAGATCAATAGAAAAAAAAAGAATTTTATTCTACTGTATAAGTAAAAATGTATGTATATAAATATATATATATATAAATGTATGTATCTATGTGGTATGTCTGTATGTGTATGCGTATATGTGTATGCTTGTATCTATCCATTTAGTTTTCTATTCATAATGTATAAAAAATATTTTTTTAAAAATTGTAATGAAAATTAACTTCTCGTATTACTATTGGACAATTACTAAGTAGTCTATTTAGGGAAATTTTATTGATTTATTCAAGATACATATTTACATAAATGTAATCAAAGTATGTCAGGGTTATGTAGGAATATTGTTTATACATGCGGATGAATAAATAATTCGGTAAATAGAAGAATTAACTATTTACTTGTATAACCGATAATATTTGTTTCAATAATGATCAATAAAATAATAAGGTCTAAAAATGGAATTATATATAGTTGCTTTAAACTTCGCTTGTAGCTCTTCTAGAGTAACTGTCGGTTCGAAGCCCGGGTAAAGGTGAAGGGTTGGGCATGGGGGTAGCTACCCCATTCCATAGTAAACTAACTCGCATAAAAAACCGTTAACCAGAATAGTTGATATAAAATAGGTGGAATGTGGCTGGAAGTAGAATCCAGGATATATTTTTCGTCCAGATTGGAACTCGTCATTTGTTAATATATGGATCCAAGCTGTTGTTCATACCATAATTTAAACCCAGTACCGATCGTCTGAAATCACATTGGCCAATCCTATTAGCTACTGATTTTAGATAACCACTTACTTATGCAACATATACGAGATTTAACAGGATTTGAAATGGTTTGAATCGTCGCATTGTCAAGATTTTTAAATGAAATTTGGTCAGTTTTCGACGGAATATGTATTTCATGTGCAAATTGCATTGATGTAACCATAATGACATAAGTTAATATAAAATAAACTCAGTCACATTCAGACCATGAGTCTTGAATAGTAGGGATTGTGCATCCAGAATTCTACTTCTAGCCGTATTCCATCTACTCTATTTTAATTTGCGTCATAAGAACTCCATCGAGGTAGTCGGTACGAGATGCCAACCAAGACTGATCAAATTGCAGTGGAAAATATCGACAACAGGATAATCCAAATCATTTGAAACTCAATTATAATTCTGCTTAGTGAAAAAGAGACGCTTCATCAACAAAAGATTAACAGTGTGAACAGTATACACATGAATCAGATCTACAGAATTATGATCTAGGTAAGGGTGACAGTTTTCGACTAATTTCCAATCAGTCAGTGTTCATTCGGTTACTTACTTACTTACTGTTATATCCTAGTGAAGATTAAATTACGGATAACTTTTGTGAACTAATGATGGACTAATATACTGTATATATTCTCATTTGTATAATTATTCAGTAACTAGATTATCTATATCTATATTCCTCCTTATATAAGCTTCATTTTAAACCATAGATTGTTATTATACAATTTTACTGTTCTTAAATTATGTTTAGTTTATTCATTACCATCTCCCACGTTCACAGCCACATTTGGGCTTGATCTTGTCTGAATGTTATTTCCTATTTTATAGCGTGATGTGGTCTCTTTGACTGGTATATAAGCCAAGTATGCTTGAAATAAATGATTCGCATAGTGAAAGCTGTTATTGGCGTTCTGAACTAAACTGGAAATGCTAGGCGAACAAAGGACCAATAAAGACGCTAAGCTGCTCATACCGGTCGAACGTTATTGGTTTGGCACAGTAATCAGATTTAATAAATCGTATTTCGACTAGCGAATTAATCACTTGATATTTAACCGGCCTTAAAGACACAACACTTACTAACTGACTTATTTATTTCCTTACGCCCGTTACTCCTCGTGGAGGAACATATGCAGCCTACCAGGATTCTAAATCGAACTCTGTCATGGGCAATCCATAGATGAACTCTTCGCAACAGGGTTTGAACCTAGGATGTGCACAAACGCTCAACCTTTAGACCAGTAACTGGACACCTAGTAGTGTACATGTAAATCATCGGATGCTTTCTGACCGATGTTAGCTAACAGAAGAGAAATCTGGAAGAATTAGAGTTTTACGGACACCTTCAGCCAAAATTAAACATGAGATCAGTCTGTGAAGTCATTAGTCGTCAGTCTAAATCATGCTGATGAATTCAGACTACCTCGATAAGATGCACTCAATAACCGCCATCAGTGGTTGATGTTAATTGAAGAGTTTTAGAATTGTTCACAAAGGCCCAGAAACAATAACTCTTGAACCATATTCTCAACTGTTAATCGTTCACAACAACACTGATACTAAAATACTTACTTACTCCTTTCTTATCGATGTTGTTAATATCTATTCGTCATGCTAATATGCCATAACAATTTGGCCCAATGGATAATTATGCCAAACTGGAAGTTGATTGTTGAAATCGATTGAATAACTGGCTCACAAACATCAAAGGGGATAACGTTCCCTTAACGACAAGATTAACAAAAAAAGGTAGCCGAAATACAACCATTATAAATTCATTTTGTATTGTTAGTTTGAATCTTCTCATTGATGTTTAGGATTGCAATTGATCAGTCTCTTATTAGCATATGTGTGCATCCTCTATAGATTGCCTCGATATTGCCTTAATTCACAAGCATTCTAAACAAAGATGAAGTGAACATCAGCTCTGAGATGTAGGCACATCCAGTTGACGAGTCCCTGATAAGGCGAAATGAGCGTCCTAGATCCCCTTGTTAGCCACCATCCATCTTTGCTTACAATCATTATAGTCTGAAAGTATTTTAAAAAAAATGTAACTATTCAATTTGATATTCTACGGTGTAAGCGTTCTATTTGATTTTATTTGGTTTGTTTTTTTTTCTTCTTAATAAATATGCTCCATCATCTCATTGAATTCATAATGTGATTTTGTAAATAAATAAAAATTATTACACTTTAAATCAGTAAAAAAGAAGAAAAAAAATTTAGCGGGTAACTTGAAGTGATATTAATAATCATAATAACTTATATATGAATAATTATTAAGGTATGTAAATCAAAGTATAAAATAGATAACTAAGATTTAATACTGAAGAGACATTAGGTTACGTGACTGGATACTATGATATCAATGTTCAAGTTTGAACTTACCTCAAAATTTAAAAGAGAAGGTTTTTAATTTTTTGCGGTGTATTTGTTATAGATTGATCTCATTGAGTATTGAAAAGTTGTTTCACCTTAGGGCGAGACTAAAGAACATGGACGAGCCAATCAGAAGCTTTCGCGGGTTTTCAAGGTCACGGCGCTAAGTTCGGTACCTGACGATTAGGTACGGTCGGTTTACAACGGATTTTAGTGAAAACATGATAGTTAAGCGTCTACAAGATAAGTTGTCATAAGATTTTGGTGCAAAATTTAATTATACATTTGGATAGAGTTGTGGCATTATAGCTGATGTCAGTTCGTGATGAAAACCCTAAGTATAATTCCTAACCTTAACCATGAACTGTAAATCATAATTTGAATTCTTCACACGGGTTTATAACCCTCATTTAGTCTTAGTTATTACGTTGACACTCTCAGATTAACTCTAGCGTCGCCCAAATGTCGTCCATAATTCATAGTCTCATCTTTAACCCTAAACCGTAACCCTAAACCTTAACCCTAATCTTTAACCCTAAACCATACCAACATACCGACAACACTGAAACTATGTGGTCGAGGCTGAAAGAATTTTCGGGACGTTATCATGGTTCCAGAGGTCGACTACTATGGAGCCACATGGATGAGTTCCTGTGCCGGATGCACTATGATTTTAGAACTTTTGAACCTATATCTGATCTTGATAAGTTTTTGATTCATGTAAAAGAACAGTATCCCCTTTAATTTTTGAGTTTTATATAATATATTTTTACTGTATACTAACTGTCTTCTGATTGGCTAATATTTCTCAAGGTCATTTAAGATTCGTTCAAAGGTCGTCCATGCTCTTTAGTCTCGCCCACCTTAGTATAAGAGTCGTTGGTAATGGGCACCTGAAAATATTACCAGAGATTGAAATTCAGAGCTTCAGGTCTATCAAAAAATGCTGATCAATTATGACTCTCTTTTTAATATTCAGTGGTACTTATTTCAATTGATTATGCAGTACGAAAATCAACTGGTGACATTGACAACTGGTCGATTTCTAAGTTGCAAAATACTCAACATTCACTGTCCGGATACTGTCAGCAACAGAGTTTTATGGGAGAGGACAAACCAGCTTCCAGATGAAGAGGAAATTAGAAAAAGATGTTGGAAGTAGAAATCACCAATGTGCATTACAAGGAAATCCCTAACTTGGAATCCTGAAGGGAAGTGAAAAAGAGGAAGGCCAAAGAATACATTACGCTAGGAAACAGAAGCAGATATGAAAAGGATGAATGTTAACTGGAGAGAACTGGAAAGGATTGACCAGGACAGAGTTGAATGGAGAGCGCTAGTGGGGGGCCTATGCTCCTCGACGAGGGTTAACAGGCGTAAGTAGTAACTTCTAAGTTGTTTGGACTCCATCACATTTCATGAGGACTTCAGGATTAGTTTTGGGTAAATTACTAGTAATCTGACTACTGTAATTTATTTGAAGGAAATTTACGGAGTTTATCATAATTTGAAGGTTGTATTTATAAAGTGAAATATAATTTGTCTCAACTGTAACTGAATAATCGTTGTAGGATATAATCAATTACTGGAAGTTAGAAATTGTACAAAAATGTGTACCAGCAAAATGATTTAATGCTTAACCTTACTTTGTCAGATCAAAAAATTCATGGTTTGATTTCCGTTGCGGTCATCTACAGTCTCTTATCTAGACGAAATAGCTTCTTACTGTTTTTTTGCTTTTTAGTGTCAGTGGCCTAAAGATTAAACACCTATACGCGTGACCGAAGGTCCTCGGTTCGACTTTACTTTGTGAGGTCGAGGATTCATAATGTCGAAGATTCCCATACTAGTGCTCTTAGGTTCTCAATGGTTGTCTAACTTTAGTCAATTTGCGATTTCAATGTAATTCAACAATCTCCACAATCTTATACTGACCACTTAATATTATTATTCTTTGAATTTCCATCCTCCAGCCATTTTGTGAAGTTAGTCTACCAAAATTATTGATTAGACTTAATTTGTCATTTTCTCTGTTTACATCCGATTGGAAAACCCATCCATTTTCTGGAACGTGGATTTGTTTAGAGCTTTTGACTATTTAGATAACTGCTTTCTTTCAATTTTGAGGAAACTGATGCTCTAGAGAACTGGCTACCATCAATCACTTGAAATCTCAAAAGATTTTATATGATGCTGAATCATTCAGACTAGTGGTCTTATTCTAACTTCATCTCTAAAATTTTGTCAAGAGTAATTAATTGACTAGCATGTCCACATGTTATCAACTGTGAAAGAACTTCTTATCGATAATTTAGTTTTTTCTGACGAGATAATTATATTTTAGCTTCTGTAAGTACAGCTGGCTATTTCTGTAGATTTAAGTAAACACTGGATTTTCGTGGGTATTGACATGATTTTGGATAAAATCTATAGTTGGTAAGAATATATAACAAGTGATTGACAATAATAATGCCAAGCAACCAATATCATGAACTTTGTTGAAAGCCACTGAAATGTGACTTTATCAAAGAATGTGATTTGATCAATAAATCACAATAAGTGCCAATACTGAACATGTGACAAGTAATATATATTTGTAACCAATACATACTATTACTTTGAATTTATATTATTTTTTCGCATTCCAGTGAAACTGATTATTATAAGTATCGGAGTTTATGAAGATGATTAAGTCTTACAGATTTCGTCACAGATTAACTTATGGTTCACAACCATGTCGAATGTGAATGCCAGCTAATCGCATATACGATAGAAGTTAAACACGTAAATCGCTGAATTACAGCTCATTGGTCACTATGATACCTAAAGAACCTGATTTCAATTTCCAGCGGATTCATCGGTTCAAACTTTGAGCAATTTATATGATTATCTAACTAAAATCAAACCATGATCATCTTCCAGATGAAAAGAAGATTAGGGAAAGTTGAAGGTGGGTAGGAAATACATTGAGGAGATCATTAAACTACATCACGAGACAAATGCCAACTTGGAATCCTGATGAGAAAAGGAATAGAAGTAGACATCAAAAGAACGGGTAATAACTGAAAACAAGTGGATAGGATTGCCCAGGACAAAGTTCGGTGGAGAATCCTGGTGGGTAACTCATAGTGTTCCACGAAGGGTAACAGGCGTAAGTAAGTTATTACATGTAATATTACCTGTTAATATCATCAGTGTATTATACAATTAGATGTAGAGTACTTTCATACTTCAAAATATATAGTACTAATAAGTAGGTAGACTTTATGTTGAAACATTTCTCACGTCATCCTGATTTGAATTGTCAATATAGTAAATTGACTATTTTGTAGATAACACATATGTTAAATACCAGAACACAGTATTATTTGATATGGTATTTTCGCAATGAATTTCTAGTCAGGAAATTTCTCCTCTTGTTAATTATATTAGTCTAAATAAAATTGATTCAAACCAGTAGATTATGAACACAAATTAGCACATGTGTGTGACGATAAACCAACAACAGGAATTTCTGCTATTGTGGTCTTGTGCTCTATATTTTTTTCTCATTCCTCCAATTTTAAACAATTATAATAACTCTGTACTGGCAATGGAATTGTGTCTCAATATACTGATCACATTTCGACAGGATATATTAGTCTCTCTACTGGATCCTAACCGCTATCTCACATTACTATAGACCATAAGGCAAATATTCTTTCAAAAAAATTTACAAATATAATTATTTTATCAGTATGGGGATTTGTGAAGATTGTAATAATTTTGATAGTTGAACTCACGGTTCGATCTAAGCTAGACTACCATTGAAAACCTGAATGTACTAGACGAGCATTTCGATCTAGTATAGGATTGCTCAGCAGTGATTATCCACGATCCCACACAAGGCACTTAAACTCAGGACCTACGGTCTAATTTCAGTCGATCCATGATCTTGAGCTACCCTTCATCCACTGTCTGAAGTGGATAAATGCCTCACAACCCACACGGATTGGACTCCAATGATCATGGCTTCTCACCACAACTCCAGGAAATCCACCTGAAAGCTAGTCACTAGTGAGCATATGATTATTATCATTTTTGAGGTTTTGTGAAGATTGTAGTATTTCCTCAGTTGAATTCATGGATCGATTGAAGTTCGACATGATTATTCAAGACAATATATCCCCATATCTCAATCCATTATGTGTATTATTGTTTTCGGTATAACCCTGATCATTCTTGTTCGTTGTCTTAAATCCTGT